CCCCCCCCCCCTCCAAATCCCCCCACCCTTGCTCCACCATTCCCCACAAACACACCACAGTCACACACACACACAGATTTACAATGACAATCACGTCAGCACGGAGAAACCATGGCAACATTGAGTTAATAAATAGCAGAACAGAGGAGCTTTTAGTGCATACTGCTCATGCTGCCGTTTTTGTGTATGCGCACGAAGACCTCGAGTTTCATCTTGGGTTAGATAAACCCCCTGACTTCCAGTTACCCCCTCGCCCCCACGCCATCTCAACCATTACAAATCCCGCTCTTGTGCACGGCGTCTTCATGTGCAGCACGCACGTTCCTGTTGACATTTTCCCCCGCATTCTCTCCAGAGAGGAAGAGCCAGGAGTATTCCCACGTTCCTAGCCGAGATCTCACATCTGCAGTGTTTCCCCCCTCCTCCCCCGTCCCCCCTCTCCACATCCCTTCTTTTTTTTAAAATATTCTTGTTTCTCTTTGCCCCCTCTCTGCCTTGTTTTCCTCTTCCCTTGTTATAGCGTGTGTGTGCGCTAGAGCTGATCCGTTTTAGTGAGATGCTGGGAGCTGTTTAAGTGCTCCCCTCTGCCTCTAAGCTCCGCGCTCTGCTGTGAATTGGGCAATTTGGCAGGGCCGCGCGAGAGGGCGGAGGGATTTTGCATCGCCGTGATATTTGTTCCAGCTTGTCACCACAGGCACTGACCTCTAAACATTCCTCTCTAGAAAGAAAATCGCAGAATTCTCTGCATTCCCCCCCTCCTTGCCCCCCACTAATAATTCTCTCTTACTATTGTGCGTCCGCAGATGCAGTCCTGGCGGGGAACCTTCAACCCCGAGCGCGAGAGACGAAAGGTAACTCTCCGGCCGCCGCATTTCTCAACACACAATTATGCGTGCGCCGATCGTGAGGATTACAGATTCTGCAGGATTAGTGCTCACCCTGCTCACTGGTGCAGGTGTCAAGCACGGCAGGGAGCAATTTGACCCCTTGACATTATACCCCTGGGAGTGCTTGTGCATGTGCATATGCACGTGTAGTCGCGCTCGAAACGAGACCCTTCGGGGAAATGCCAGGGATCAGAGGTGCACAGCTTGTAGGAGGGGCACGTAAATTACGCTAAGTTGCATCAGATAGACCACGGCAAAATGGGAAACAGAAATGAAATACTGGTCTGCGGTTTCCTCAGCGGTGAGTTGGTGTAAATGGTAGAATTTAATGCAACGGGACAGCTCCAGAAAGAAAGCAGGAATTGATTAATGAATTTAAATATTTTCGCATTAAAACAATTGCCTACCCCTTCGTACAAAATCAAAATTCTGCACAGTCTTAAAAAATTCTGGAAAAGTATAGAATTGGGTCAAAGTATGCTCCAGCCCTGAGTTAGTTCAGAAAATGGACGTTGATTTTGAAATATATCGGCATGTCTAAGATGGTGACATTGCAAACTAGTGTAATACATATCAGAAATACTAAAACTGCATTTGGAAATCTTGAATTTGCGTTTGTAACAATGTAGTCATTTTGAGATGGGGAAACCCTGCAAAATGGTTGTGGAACAGGGAAACACAGGAATAGTTTAACAATACTTTTAGTATCCAGTTACGTTGACTGGATTTAAAACTCGTTCTCTGCCAGAATAAGTCCTAAAGTTTTTAAAATGCATCATGAAAAGCTGTTTTTCATTTGATATTTACACGGGGGTTAGTTGTCAACTCGTCCCCTTGCTATAGATTTTGTTCTCCAGAAAAAAAAAAAAAAAACAACAAACCCAAAATCAGGGGTGTGAACAACTATTTAGTCTCTAAAGTCAAGAGGGCCACACAAAAACTTGCGGCGTGCCGGATTTGGCCCCCCGACCTTTACTTTGATACATCTTCAGATGACATGGTGTTCAAAAGGCAGAACGGAAACGTTTACTTTTAACACCTACTCCGATAAAGGCGTCTTCCACCAGCAGTGTAAAGCAAAACAGAGGCTTACATAAATCTAGCAGCATAAAAGCAACCCTCTGCTCCTGCTCTTCCTGTCGCCTCCACCCTGCGGAACCAGGTGTGCAGTTGAGGTTAGGGGTTAAGGTTATGTAGATGCTGCCCCTAAGTGGCAGGGATAATTACTGCACAATGAACTGGCGTAACCCTCACGGCATCCTGTGCATGTGTGTGTTTGTGACAGCAGCAGCAGCACACACTCCTCCTCATGTGGGCTAATTGCTATGTGTAGCACAGAGTGTAAATAAGTCAGCAGCGGTTTTTATCACACTCTTTCCTCGTATTTCTCCTTCCCAGTCGCTTCCCTCATTTCCATCTTCCCCCCCCTCCCTGCCTTTTGCTTTGCTCTCTCTCTCTCCCTCCCTCATCTACCCCTTTCCCCCCCTCCCTTGCCGTCTGTCTCTCTCAGTCTTGTACTCATACGCAGCATGAATAAAGCAGCGAGCCAGGTTCATGGCCATGAATATTTATGAGAGTTTATGCGCGCGCTGCGATGCTTTAAAACAACAACAACAGCCTCCCAGACTGCTCTTGCCATGCCAGCGAGCTGCGGTTCATGTGTGTCACGAGTGTGTAGCAGCAGGTGTAAACTACAGAAAGCGATTCCTGCAGGTTGTCTAAAGACCGCCGGCTCTGGGTCTTGCTGCTGCCGCCGCCGCCCTCCCCCCCCACCCAAACCCCTCCGCTCTCTAGCGCTTGCACACGTCGCTTCCTGAGTTTGTCATTCTTTATTCCTCTCCCTGGCACCTCGTGGCACCCTCTCTTTCCCTCTCGCTGTCTACGGACGTGCGTCTGTGCAGAGTGATGACGTACATTACTGATGCTGGCAGCTGTCAGGGCCATAAGTCAGATGGTTGTGACCTATCTCTGTATGTGTGTGCGTGTGTGTGTGTGTCTATGTCTGGAGCCGTTTGTCGGCAGTCGGGCTTAAAGATGTATTCACGCACACACACAAGCGCCACGAGGTCTCGCAGCAGCACAGGTCACGGAGAGCATATTCAAAAGGAGGTTTTTAAGTCATCAAACCACAGACACACACACACACGGACGCACACACCTTTAAGCGCATTTGCACACGCAGCAGCTCGGTCCCGTCGGGTAGCAACAAAACTGGCTGTGCAAACAGCGAGCCGCTTGTTCTCCGTCTTCTCGAGGCGTTTGTTTACAAATCCACACAAGCTTTGCCTTGAGTAATAATGTGACGTGTCTGTGCATCTATGTGTGTGTGCGCGTGCGTGTGTGTGTGTGTGTGCTCCTACATCCCTAACCTTGTATCCCACTGAGCTTTAGCCCTGCATGAGTGCCTCCTCATTAATCCACTTAGTTTTGATTTTATTTGTCTCCGACAGCACAGGTCTGTGTGAGCAAGGTGCAGTCAGTCTCTCAGAGGTGCAGGAGCGGTGAGAAGTTTACATGCCTCGTCGTTGGGTGGTGGGGCGACATTGCTTTCATTTTGAGCTTTTAAAGAAGAATTTGAATTGCTTTAGTTTTCGGGGTGGAATTATTGTACGACCCCAGACTTCGGCGATTGAAAAAGAAGAAATGAGTGCACAGGTTTTAATTTTTTAGGAATTTTCTCTACTCCACACACACACACGCACGCACACACACACCCGTAGAAGCTCAAATATTCATTAACAGGCTTTTCAATACTTTGATAAAAATAATTCATCAGGTTCAGATCATTGTAGAAGCCTTATCCCTTCCAAAACCAAGGTTGATGTGACTTTTTTTCTTTTTCTTTTTCTTTTTGGGCGATGTTCAAGCTTGAAGCGTCTACTTGAGTTAATCAGGAAGTTGATTTGTTTGGCAATAGTTTTCCACCTGTTTCAACCCTCCGTTGTATGTACATAATAAGAGATCAATACTGCTTGTAGCAAAGCAAACCCTCAGTATGATGCTGTCCCCACCGTTCTTGACAGATGGAAGGTTTTCAAAGCTGACAACGCTGTTCCACCGAAACGTCAGGGAAGTCCTTTTCACAAACACTTATTTGTGAAAAGGACGTTTGCAATAAAACATTACTTCTCACATCGCTTTTCCTGTTGTTTCACAAAAGAATCCGTTCAACTTGATAGAATATTCGTACCGCTAAAACTCCACTCCGGGTTTTCCAGGTTCCTCTCAGCAGCTCACCGCATTTCATGCTCCAAGCAGAAACAAGAGAAGTTTATCACAATTGCAGGCTGCTAAAAACTGAACAAGGAAGTCAGTCCCACTTGCATCTCAAAATGTTTATCTTGTGTCATAAAACTTTGTGGTTTAACTGTGCTCGTGGCTCAGTCGAAGTGACTACAATAGAGATGACTGAACTGCAGACATGTGGAAAGCGTCTTTGCTGGAGAGAGGTGGAACGGAGGCGGGAGTTGATATTTTTCGAAAGATTTTTCAAAATAAAATATGCCACAAACTGCAGTTAACACGAGAACCTTGGCAGACGAGTGAAGTCGCCGTAAGCCGCATAGGAGAGAAAGAAATGTGTTAGCCACTTCCTAGCCAAAGTGTCTGCTTTACAAACGCAACTTTTCGACACCAGCTTTTGTCTCCAAAGGACAGTGGCACCAAAACTAGGTTTTGGATGGATAAAGAAAGTTGTGGACTAGGCCTGAAAGCAAGTCCATGTCCAAGAAACCAACCAGTTTAATGGAGCTTTACCATGTGATCAAATAACGAGCATGAATCATTGTTAAATTTATACAAAATGTAAGTTGCATGGCTTTGCAAAGTGACAAGGTAAATATCATTGGGGGTCTGCAGATAGGATTTAGCTTGTATGTCTAATTTATCCAGATTCGAGAAAAACAGTCAATTCAAAGCCTTGAAAAGTCTAAAACTAATACAAACCAGATTCCAAAAAAGTTGGGACACTAAATAAATTGTGAATAAAAACTGAATGCAATGTGGAGATGCCAACATCTAATATTTTATTCACAATAGAACACAAATCACAGATTAAAAGTTTAAACTGAGAGAATGTATCATTTTAAGGGAAAAATATGTTGTTTCAAAATTTCATGATGTCAACAAATCCCCAAAAAAGTTGGGACAAGGCCATTTTTACCACTGTGTGGCATCTCCCCTTACAACACTCAACAGATGTCTGGGGACAGAGGAGACCAGTTTCTCAAGTTTAGAAATAGGAATGCTCTCCCATTCATGT